TTCCTTCCTTCCTTCCTTCCTTCCTTCCTTCCTTCTCTATAAATCCTAATAAGGTCTTTCTTTGTACTAATCTGGACAGGGACCCTGAAGGTTTGATGATGTAACATCTGGATGACCTCTGACCTTCCTCTCCTTCTTAATTAATGTCTGCTGCTCCTTTTCTTCTCTACAGTCCTTAACGAGCTTCACTAATTAAAACATGCTGCCTCTGTCACTTTGCTTATCATCAGTTCCCCCCTTCCTTCATCTCGCCTCAGTCCTTCTCACCTGTAGTTACCATGGTAACAGCAGCATCCTCTAAATCAAGGCCGTCGGGTTTTGCAGAAGCTTTTTCAAAAACAGGATCAGGTCAGAGCTGAAGCAGCAGCAGCTCCTGATTCTGTCTGTTGACCCTCAGAGTTTAGCTGTTTCCTGACTGACAGGCTGATGATTCGCTCCGCCGGCTCGCAGCGACTCGTTTAAGGCAAGCGTCGTGTCTCAGATCGTTCTGGTTTAAACTTGACCTCCTGACCGCCGACTCAGCAGCTCCATGACAGGCCGATAAAACCAGACAGGAAGCCACCACCTGACAGCCGGGCTGCAGCTCAAAAGCTCAGGCTTTCCACTTATCAACCCGCAAAAAATATCAACTAATATCATCTTTGTCTTTAGCTAAAAAAACAAGTAAGATAATCATCATTGTTGAAGAGTTAAAGTGTTTAATGGAAATAGTCCTCAGACTTTTCTGAAAATTTTTTATTTCAGGTGAAAAACGTTCAAACAGGAACAGTTTTGTTTCTGTGTAAATAATTTATTATTTTGAAAAGTAAAATGCCAAAAATCTTAATAAAAACAGATTAGTTTTTTTTAATGAAAAGTATCATATTTCTGATATATTATTTCCAAACAGACCTTTTCAGAATCAATGGAAGATATTTTTTTTTCACGATCCCATAAACAGAAAACATTCAAATAGATGAAAACGTTCTCCTTTAAATATTAAGCTGAAATAAACTAAAATATCTTGGTCACATGCAGGGAAGTTAGACGCAAAGCAGAACACTTTAAAATAAATGTAAAAAACAAAAAATATTAAATTCAGGTCAATTCAATTTTTTCTTATTAATCCTAAAGGGACAATAAATAAAACCAATTAAACTTTTTTCAGGGTTTGGTTGAGGTTTTCAGGACC